TGAGATATAAGTGAATAGAGCCTGGTTTTACATGAATGAGCTTTTGCAAGGTTTTCTACTGAAGTGTGCAAATTTAAAGTTCTGGATCAACGCCCTGCTCTCTGCTCACTTGGTGTTGGGTCACAACGTACTGACAGTGACAAACTCCTGAGCGACCAAGTCCACTTAAAAATACTGCGTGGAGGCACTCAGCAATAAAGGACGATGCCTTCAACAGCCAAGAGTTACCAAGGACTTTTGAAAACCGATGACCAATATGGAATATCACTTTACATACGTACTAGACATCCTAATGCTGTGCAGAATTGCCAAACCTGTCTCTGGCACAGGGAGTAATATAACAGTAGTGTGGTGCTCTGCTATAGCTTGAGTTATCCCCAGCAAGATTAATTTGTGTGAGGTCCTCAAGTGGAATTAATTTGCTCACAACTAACTTTAGCTCTGCAAGATACTGTGCACATATATCTGATATTGAAAAGCTCTTAGCAGCTGGCATTACATTGGCAGTTTTCTCAGCAATATCAAAAAATTCAAGCTGCATGATGCAATTACCAGAAGCAGTGGGAGAATATTTTATTTCTTCAGTCTCATGCTTGTTTACGGTTTCTAGCCAGTGGCTCACTGTTATGTTATTCACTTCATGAAGGACAACACTCTGTTAAATGGATGGCTTACTTTTAAGTTTTCTTCTAGAAAAAAAATCCATAGCTGCAAAATCTCTAGCCCTCTGACTGACAGTCTGTTTTTCCAGTGCCCAGGATAAATGCAGAAGAGAGCTGATGGTTAAAGAGCTGCTTTAAGATGAGTCATTACTTGTTTGCTTATTCTTTAATAGTTTTGCCCAAATTTCACTGTTTTTCCCTGCTGCACAGTTACAGCTTCTTGCCTAATTTTCCTCGTGTTCTTAATTTTAAATCTCTTCCAGCTTTACAGCTCTACAGATTTTTACCTGTTACCATCTGTTGATTTTTTTTACCCAGATATTATTCTTGTTTTCTAAACTGAATCTTGTTGCAATATCCTGCCTGTGTTTCTAATCTTCCCATGACCCCTTGTATTATTTCTCCATTTTCATCAGTGTGTTCAGCTCCTCCTAGTTTAATAGATCTGCTGAGTTCATTAATGTACCATTTACTCCCTCTTCTAGCTCATTATTGAAGCTATTAAATGAGATCAGAAGTAATACTAATCTTTGTGTACTGCACTAATGCCTCCCTTCAAAGTTATTGTTTATCATTACCCTTCATTGTTTGTCATCACCCTTCATTTCAGTCAACATGATAGTTCATTTCCAATTTGATTTAAGTTTGGGAACAGAATTTTGACACATTGGAGATGGGAGAAGAAAGGCTAATCAACAATCCAGCAGAGGCTTCTAATTAAGGCTCAATTTAGAGGATCAAAGTTAGACGTCTTCTGCTGCAGCCACCATGTAAGGTGGAAACTGTCTTCATGACTTGACTGAGAACACCTTAAGCTCAGTGCTAAAGTATCCTAAAGAAAACAGTATACTGTAAAAATTCAGACACATGACAATATAGCTTCTGCTCTCTATTCATTAACTTTGTATTACTATTAAAAAATCAAGTTTATCTGGCAGACTTCAAAGTGGTTTAGTAAATTTGTTTTCTCAGTAGCTGTTCCATTATGTTGCCAGGGAGGGAAGCTAAATTTATGAGTAGCAATTACAAAGACAACTCACAGAATATGTGAACTATCTTTGGCTGTTTCAGAGTTGTACAGTCTTCCTTCTAAAGCAGCCATATCCTTCTTCTGTTCCTGCACAGTGTAAAATTAGAGGAAAAAGATCGTAATTTTTACAACCTCTTCAAAATTCTAAATTTCTAAATTTCTAAATTTCTAAAATTTCTAAATTCTGTAGTAAATACTATTAAATGTATTTATATCATTAGGAAAATCAGTTCAGTCAGAAAAAACTCATTTTGATAATATACTAATTTTGATAATATACAATACTGATACAATGTCTGATAATAATGCCACATGATTTAAGGGCCCAATACCAAAGCCTGTTCATTACTCTCTTTAGTATAATACCAAGCATTTTATAAACTTAGGCTGCCAGCCCTTAGCATGAGGGCAAATTCTTCTTGATCTTTTTTGACTTGCCAAAAATATCTGTGTCCAGACACATTTGGATATTCCAGAACTACTTGATTTTTCCTAGGAATACTTGGCTTAAGCTTATTTAGTTACATATAGCCTGTGTCAGTGGAAATGTAAATACCCTAAAAGTCTGGAAAACTATGTTTAATATGCCCCTATGTAGAACTGAGATCTCTTACAGTTTTATATATATTGAAGAAAACAACAGAACAGTGAATTACTGAAATTCAGTCTGGGATCAGGTTATTTTTTACATGTACAGAAAATTATCAGAGTAAAAAGGTCGGTACATCCTAGGAGCCATGACATACGGTCTAATGGAAATATAATTCCAAGTCCTGCTACTGCAACATGGAGTGTCTTCATGAGTCCAGAAATACAACCACAAGTGGGGTCATGAATCTAGATATTGGGTTGCTAGAAGACTTTGAGATTAGCTGCTATAAACTCAGCTTCTCTGAATTTTGAAGCCTTGCATCTTTCAGTATGTGCCTACTTATCTGGCATAGCCTGCTATCTCATTACTGTGAATCTGCCTTAACCTCTGAGGCAAATTTTGTTCACTCTTCCCCAGACTGCTTATGGAATATTTTCCTCCCACTCAATCTCTCCTAAAACCCATCTCTGTCTCTGTTGATTCCTGCTAGGGAATCAGCAGTGACACTTTTTAGCCTTGTTTTTTATGGTTAAGCATTTTTATAAAACTTTTTATTGGGTTTTTATTGCTACTATCTCCTGTCTGCCCCTCTCCCCTATTATTGAGTTACATATTTATTATATCTCTCATGAAATTGAATTGTATGATTTTCTGGGAAAAGATTTAATGTCACTTACATTTTCAAATGTACCTGCCAATAACATTAATGATGTAAAAAAAAAAGCATTATTATTCTGGTTCATTAATACCTATTAATCATGGTTTAAGGTGTCCCTGATGAATTTTGCTGTTAACTGTCCAGTGCTTACCTTCTTGAAAGTGAGAGCCTGAGGAGGCTGCTTCAGCCAGAGACCATTAACTAGTTCATTGCATCAGTTTTTGATTGTCTGTATAAAACATGTGAAAGATACATGTGTTTGCCTAGATCATGTGTCAGCCTGTGTTTGGGGAACAAGTTGCTATGTTGTGCCTCATTTCTCTCTTTGTTCCTTTGTACTCGAGGGGCTTTTACCTTTCCTTTGAAAGACACTTGAGGAAATGCATACCTGCTGTGAAAGCTTGATTTATTTTGCATTGCATCTGCATTGTCTGGTTCTGCAATGTGCACTTTGGAATTAAATCAGCTTCTCTGCATCTCTAAAAAGAAATATTTTTTTCCTGCAAAATTGATTCCTTCATTGTGTGCATTTCTGGCAAAAGTATGTGTATCTATACCTCAGTTTTGGCCATATTGGCCATATTGACTACCATCAGTGGTCCACTCTGGCCTCCAATCGGAAGACGTGGAGACACACCATCCATAACACTGCTGTCTCCTTTGAGAACGCACGTAGAGTTAGTCTCGAGGAGAGAAGACAAGGCAGAAAGAACCGTGCCTTGCCAACGCCGCCTAAGGAGACTTTCCGCTGTGCCTTTTGCAGCTGGACTTGCCCATCCCGCATTGGCCTTTTTAGCCATCAGCGCGCTTGTAGCAAGTGTGGTTGGAGCCCTTCCCATATCTTGGTTTGCGAAGCCCAGCCATGATGATGATGTGTATTAACTGTATTATTGACTTTTTTGTGTATGTTAAGGTCTGTCTTATTTTTGTTATCAATGAAAATATCACTTACGTTTATGATGCTTTGCAGGAGTAGGCCCTCATCCAGAAAGATTTCAAAATCAAAAAGATACAAGAAAAGAAGAAAACATAATAGCAGTCATACATTATTGCCTAGCAGCCCAATACATGCAGATACTGACCTTGGCAGAAGCAGTGCGGTTATAGTATTATAATAAATGGGGAAAAAAACACTTGTAAGTCCAATAAGAAATAAATTGCAGTAGTGCTACCTAGTGTGCCAGGTGTTGAAGTTTTTTGGGAAGGGAAAATAAACTACTTTCAGCCCATCTCACTTGTTACAGCTGTAACCTCACTCATCCTTCTGCTGCTGCTTCCTTCCCAGCCTGCTTACAGAAGAGCGGGACCAGCATTGACAGAAGGTAGAGGAAGAGACCTGAGGGCTGTTTTGCAGATGCTGATTCTGGCACACATGCCATAAGGTTGTCATTGCTGCTCTAGATAAAATTGAGCATCCGTGGGATTTTAAAGGAGAAAGATAGTTGTTCTCTCTGTATTCCCACACAAATCTTCCTCTTCTACTCCTTAATTTCCACAGCTAAACATGTAATGGTTGAAACATCCTTTCTCACCTACTTCAGGCAAGTGGTGTTGTTGTTGAGAGAGAAAAAAATATAAATTTGAGGCCAGAAAAAAAGAGCTGCTGCTGGTTTTTGAAGTTTACTGAAAGGGGCGGAAGTGAATTTTTGCCTGGTGACTAAAGGGTTTATGCTGAGTAGAGGGTCCACAAAGTCCTTTGGTAGGAAGTGGGAGATGAGGGGGCAGTGAAGTGGAACAGCGATCTGTTCTGCACACTAATGCTTTGTACTAGGTGGAGCCCTTTTACTGTGACCGCTCCAGGCTTTTCCACCACAGCCTTTTCCAATTTCACCATTAGCTGACTCAACGTCTCTGCTTTAATCCTGAGATATGCAAAGTGCATGGCTTGTCCTTCAGTGTGTGAAGCTGCACAGCGTTTATTTTTGTCTTCAGTATAGAATCTGCTTGTAACAAGTGGAAGAGTGATCGAGCTGGAAACTGTTGTCTGCAAATGAAGCCCACATCTCCATAGCATCATATAATGCTGTGTATTCGCCTGTCCTCTGCTGCCGGTGCCAGAGGATATTGCTTTTCCAGTTCGATTTGCTTGGGGTGCAGCTACAGCAACATATCAGATTGAAGGTAGCAATTTTTATCTGCCAAAGTGTTAAGAAAGTTTTAAGTGAAAGAAAAGTCTGTATCTAGGAAGTGGAGTGTTTGATCTTTGCCTTGTTATGTAGATGCTACATCTGATGCAAATCTGTGTAGCACTTCTATTTAAACACTTCTGGCCTGAGCAATAATAAGGATAAAAGATGTTTCAAATCTCAGAAATATATCTATGTAATGGAAATAGAGAAGGAACTATTCATTAACTATTGAGAGTGTGTGTGTTTGGGAAGCAGATATAAGTAAATTTCCAACTGGTTCTTGATTATTTCCTTTCTCTAGAGCTAGTTTAATTAGATTACTATTGGCTATTCCAAAACTGAATGGGAGTACTGCCTCATCAGATGTTGGTACTCACAATAGGTCCTTATTTAGGAATTCATCTCCAAAAAATATGAAAATCATTGAACTGAGAAGTTAACAGCTGGACTTGTGGAGACTCTCCCCTAGAGACATGTATCATATTCCCAGCTGAACAGAGGTGCTGATAAAGTGAATTTCCTAGCATGACATGAAAATACGTAGCAGATTCGGGAATATAAACCTGTACGGTACAGTGACATAAGGTCCATAATCCTCCCCAAACTTTGTCCCTTGATAAATGCATGTTTAGAGACCTTTAAAATACATATAGATATGATTTTCTCATATTATACCCTGCAGCATACAGGCACTTAACTTCCATTGATTTCAATACCTAAATGGGAGCTGTGGATCTAAAATTGTCTTTGAGGATGTAGCCTTTAGTTCTTGGTTATTGCTGAAAGCTAGAGTACTTGCCCATGCTTGGTGCCTTTTAACGAGCTCAGTTAGCCTCACCTAATAGACTGAACAGTTCACTTGTCCCAGGGAATCAATATTCTGGGCCAGATTCTAACTCAAGCCCTGCAATGTGCATAGCTCTACTAACATTTTTTAAAATGTGGATTGTGTGTGCATATAGAATGACAGTATAATTTCCTGTCTTTTGCGTGGCTAGATGTGCAACTTTAATGTTCTCTTAATGTATTTTTAATGAGCTTTCCTCAAGCTTCTGAGTGGGAGAAACGTTAAAAAAAATCTATAATGTGGTCTAGACACTACTCAAATGACCCTTTTCCTGCAGAAGTAAGAAACTGAACAGGGAATTCCTCCTCCTGAAAGATTAGGAAGCTGCGCAGCTTCCAACTTGGAGGAGCAAGATTGGAGCAATAGTTCTTGTAGAGTCCAAACTCAGTTTCTGCACATATCACAAGATACACAGTGGATGAGGCACGGGCTGGCAGGCTACTTTATTTTTTACTGTCAGCTATGTATTTATGCACAGCACAACCTTCTCCACTCTGTATATTTCAAAGTGCTAAAAAATCATACCAATTGTACTCTGCATGCTCAAAGTGCAGATTTCAAAGGTTCATGACTCAGTCAAATCAAAATCAATTTGCACCAGAACACTCAAAAGCACTTCTTCTTACTGAGGGCTATTTCTATGCTAAATTTCAACTCCTTGCTTGATTTTTTTTTTTTTTGAGAGAGAGGGAAAAGTTGCAAAAAATTCTAGTAATGGTAAGAGTGGTTTTCTTCACTTTTTTTTCATATGCCCAATAGTTGAACTGCATTAATTCAAACAAAACTTCACCTTTTGAGCAGAGACCAGGCCAAGAAAATTTCACTCCAAAAGGTGAAAGCACAGCTGAATTAGAAGAAAGCTAACTTCAGAAAGTACACAAAAACTTAAATACTCTGATCAGTAATATTCCTGCTTCACTATCTTCACTTAAATGGAGGAACATTCTATCTTAGTGCACTGTAATAATTGCAGAGAATGTGGAATATGCATCATATTTCGTGATAATTTATATCAATGATTGGATGACCTTATGTGAGGAGTATGCCTACACAATGAAGTTCTTTGTAGCGTGTAGGTTTCAGAGCAAGCTTAGAGGTGCAAGCTCAGTTCACTGAAGAAGAGCAGGGCTCTGTGCAGACTAATTGTGGCTCAGCAGGATATAGTAGAGTATGTGGAGCTTTCTGTTGCCTTGGCAAGATTGCTTCCAACATGTTATTTAGGCAGCTCAGATACTCCACACTGCACAGAGAGGCTCTTTGAACAGCATGAGGGATGCTTGAAAGTGGGTCTGTTTGCTATGGCCCCAGTCAGGGTTTTATAGAGGCTAATGACCACTGGAGTAGTACTGCCATATTCTGCTGAAAATCAAATGCTTCACCTCCTTCCTCCCACCTCCTTTGTTGGAGGAAGGCAGACAAATAAGGTATCGCTCAGCATCTGCTCTAGCTGCTGATTCTTAAATGCAGGTGTGTTAGCTGCCCATTTTGGCTTCCCTTCACTCCCACCGTAGTGAAAAAAAGAGCTCTACCATACTGATACAGTGCAGGAAACCTGCTCTTAAAGGCTTCTAAATTCTAGGTACCACCAAAGAATTACTGTTATTTGTTATTTCCTGCACTTGTCTAAAATGACTGTTTATTTCAGCAGACATATTTGAAATCAGAAGCAGGATATAGAAAACTGTATTTTTCCTTGGAGCGTACAGACAAAGCACAAAGTCTGTGACAAAAATCTGAGATTAAGAGGAACTCAAACTCTCTGGATCTAAAATTTGACCTCCTTAGAAGGTTGTCCAATGTAAGAGTTTAATTTACTGGCCAACCAAATGTATTGGTGTTCATGTACTGCAATAAAATTCTGTAAAGAACATGAAATGTGACAATGATCTTTTAAAAGCTAGGTTATAGAAGTGATATTACAGATTTTAGTAATGCTTTAAATTAAGTGTCTTCAATATGCTTAACCTTGCATTAAACTTAGATTTAATAAGACAGATGTGTATTTAGTACTGAATATACTTAAGGGAGCAATCTTGCGTTGGCAGGGGATGGACTCAATGACCTCCTAATAGTTCTCCTCCATCTCTAATTTCCATGATACTAATTGATTATTAAAACACTTTTATTGAGGATTGATATGTAGCTATTATATAGTTATTAATCTTACAACCCAACTGATATTTAATTTATACATAATTTTAACACACAATGTCATTTTAGTTTATAAAGAGTAACCCTGAAATAGTGCATTCACCAGGGCTCTGAAAAATCTTGCTGGTAAATGGGGTTGGTCATTTTGGGGTTATTTGGAATATTATGATAAAATCACTTTGCCGGGGTGTAAGTTTACAGAGCTCTCCACATTAAAAATGAAACACGTGCCTCAGCTACAGAATTGCTCTGGAAAAACAAAGAAACTTGTTATGAAGAAAGGTTCATTTGTTTGGTTTAAATACTATGTGATGTTAGTACTGTGTAATCTCAAACTACAGCTGAACTCTGAGTGTTTTGAAGGTAATCTGTCTATCTCAATTTTGGAATTGCAAAGAAATTTCCCCAAACTATGAAAGTGAAGAAAATGGTGCAGGGATTTTGAGCATTCAAAATTCATTTCTGTGAACGTTTGGCTAAGCAAAAAGCAGAAGTTTTGCAGAGCTGTGTTATTAATTCAGCTTGTATATGCCTAGGGCCATGGCTCATAATGGCATTCCTTTCTTTTTAACAGACTGTCAGGATTTTCAAAGGACATCCAGAAAGCCATAAGTGCCTATTTGTTGGATGTATTTCTCATACCCTAAAGGCTTTCTTTGATATGGACTGATCTTTTACATTTATGTATCGAAGTTGCATTAGAAAATGCCCTTTGTGAAAACCTGTAATATCTCTAGAGTTGCAAGCATCTGATTTTTGGCTAAGAAAGTATGAAGAGTGTCAGAACGCTGAATGCTCTTTAAAGCATGAGTTTCAAGTAATTAGCAGCAAGGAAAAATATGAATAAATGCAAAACTTGATGCAAATACATACTAATGCTTGAAAGTTCCTGGTTACTTTGAATGATATACGGAGAAGGGAGGGAATTCTGCTCATTTCACTCATAAGATTTTGAGGATTTTGTGCCTCCTTTATGATGAATATTTACACTCACCATATGTCTTCTGATGTCAAAAGTGTAACGACCAAGGTTTGTTTTTCAAGCAGAAGGCTGGAATGCAGATGGAAAGGGCCCTAATGTCTGGGACACATTCACCCATCAGGGAGGAGATCGAGTTTTCAGGAACCAGACTGGTGATGTAGCTTGTGGCAGCTACACTCTGTGGGAGGAAGATTTGAAATGTATCAAACAGCTTGGATTGACTCATTATCGCTTTTCTCTTTCCTGGTCACGTCTGTTACCTGATGGGACGACAGGTTTCATCAACCAGAAAGGCAATTGTTTCTTAAAAATAGAAGGTTGCAGCTTTAATTCAAGGTTATGGCTGCAGTCTGGCATAATTAATCCAGTATGCTATTTTGCAGTGTAGCTTTGAAATTGCAACTTTTTTCAGAGTAATTATGGGATGATTTTTTTATAGGTTTGCAACAACTTCCTAATTAATATTCTAGATCCCTTTGGATAGCACAATCTTTCGGGATAGGATTAGTATTACATTTCGCATGTATCTTTTTGCTTACTCCATTTTTTTAATAATAACTCTAAATCCTTTTGCTTCATCAGAACGTTTGTATTTACAGGGATCCTAGCCATGAGGATATTTTTGGATGGCTTACAACAGACGAGTATCTTACATGGCAAATGCATTTAGATAGTTTATCAGTATACTCTGATGTACTGAACTTCACATTGACTATTTTGCACCAAGAGGGACCTACTTTTCTGAGGTATTTTCTTTAGCAAATTAGAGAGGATTCTTCAGACTCAGCTAGGAACTCTGCTGAGTTCTGTGACGAACACAAGACAGTTCCTGCTCTGAAAAGAAGACTTTTCACGTTCTCAGCAGACAGCATAAAAGTGAAAAGAGATACAGCATGTAAACAAGCTGGTCAGATTGCTAGAAGTCAGGTATAGAATTTCTTGCACTTCTGATTTGTTTATTTGAGTTCCATTGGTATGGACTGGGAAGAAGATTAAGGTCACTTTCCAGGAAAAGACAAGAAATGGCAGCTTTGCCTGAAGAACATAGAGAAAGGAAGAAAGAAGAAAAAGATAATTATGAAGAATAAAAGTAACTGAAGCTGAACCAGAAAGGCTGGGAGAATCAAGGTAGTTGGCTGAGGTCTCTTGTACGCTGGGAGGATAATATTCCAAGGAGAAAAAGTCAAAGCCTCTGAATCTCAGTTCTGCCTCCTACTCTTCCGAATCCCAGTTCAACCAAGAAGATATGTATTTCTGGGGCAGTGTTTGCCTTGGCAATTCTTTTCTTCTCCTGGTTTGAAGATTGCAAAAACATAAGGCTACAAAGGGAAAGGATTTCTTGGAAAATGCTCTTCAGGTTATTCTGAACTGTACGAGGAAGATACTGGCAGAAGCAATAGTTTTCTGCAGAATTTTGGTCATGTAGAGTTTGCCTGTTCAATAGGCAGCAGCCTGTCCTCTGCATCCTGCAGATTATGGTTTTTACCAGAGAGCGGAGGAGCTTTTGTTTCCAGAATTCAGAAAAGGGGGTTGGTGAATCTGCTGTAAACAGACCAACCAGCCATTTTCCCCTGCAGAGCATGACTGCAAAAACTGTGCCAGCACCCCGGAGAGGCTTGACTGGAAGTCTTTCCTTTGCCACCACAATTTACAATACGTGGCCCACTTTCACTGGCACAGTTTGCCCTTCCCTAGGAACACTTTCTGTGGTGTGTTGAATTTAAATTTGGCTGAGACCTTGTGTTTTCTTTCCTACACTGATATTTCTTCAGCTGGGGCTGCAGGCGCTGTACAACCCCACAGAGCTGCCCATTGAATGGGCTTTCTTATTTAGACATCAGAGTGGGAGACAGCAAGCAGACAATCTGAACGCCCTTGGTAAGGAAAGCTAACATTTTGACAAAACTCAGCTGTAATTTCAGAAAATGTTCACTTGGTCTCCAGTATAAGCAGTTGTCTGATTAATATTATGAACTTTACATTTAACGAAAGGGCATTGGAGAAACTCCAAGTAGGCCAGCTTTCATTAAGCAGGAGTTCACTTCTCTTGTGCAGTGATCTGTTGAAGCAATTGTAACTGCATAGCATGGAAAGGCCATCATCTTCTATATAAACATTTTTACAAAGAGCATGTGAAGAATTAGAAAGCTTAGAGCAATGTCCTTTCAAATAAAATCATTCACACCAACTGATTCACTACCAATTTCACACCTAAGATGTAGGACATTTGAAAACCTTTAAAAACATTATTTTTCTAACTTGGTGGGGTAGGGTGTTTTAAAGCAGCAATGTTGTAGGTGTATAGTTCCTAAGATGTGACAGGTTTTAGGTTAAAATTTACACAAAGCTTCTTTTTAAAGTATTTTTGTACAATTATTTTTACTCTAGAATATGGCCTGAGCTGAAAAATGTAGATATTAAACACCAGGTGTCAGTCTGGAGGGAGACAGAAGCAGTAGACATGGGGGTATTGAGTCTTGGAGAGCTTGATGTTACACCTCAATTCAGTGTGAAGCTAGGGAATCAGGGTGGGGAGAGAAGATGACAGAAATAAGAACAAAACAGTCCTTCATTTTCCAGTGACCAAATGCTTCTTGATGTCTCTAAGCCCTCTACAAAACCGTTATATGCTCTTTCTTGGAATAACATTTTCTTCTGTACTTCTACTTCTAGATAACCAACGGATACAGCCGTAGGAACTAGATCAGGGTACTCTGGAAGGTGACAGACAATCTGGTAATTGGACTTGACATTTACACTTTTCAGGGATTTCTTTTCATTTCCTAACAGTAAGCATGTTTTTTTCCAATACTGGTATTTAATTGAGATGTAATGATAGCTGGTTGCACTTAAATTGTATAAATTGTACTAAGTAATTTATAACCTGAAAATTAGAATGAGAAATGCTAGTAAATTCTAAGCAAGCATTACTTTCAATATGGTAGAACATGATCCTGCACAAACAAGGGTTTTCTATTTTCCCATTTTAAGCTTATGTCGGAAACCTTGTAGTCCCACCAGCAAACACTTAACATATACCCAGTCCCACTGAAGTCAACAGGTCTCTGTTCAAAAGTAGTAGTAACAAACTGTATTTACTCCTAGTTCCTCTCGCAAATTGTAAGAATTTGCTTTTCCAGATTTAGAATTCTGGTATATTTCTTCCTCTTTTGGTGGGTGCTTCCTCAGGCACAGGCATGCATCTCCTCAGAATTTAGTGTGGGTTTTTTTGGTGCTGCTTTCAGAAGGAAAAGCAAACTACTTGTGAGATTTATTGTTAATTACATTGTAAACAAATTTATTGAGTCTTACTGTGCTAAAGGATGTGTATGCACCTGTTTGTTTAGAAGAAGGCACTGTCTAAATCTGGGTTCCAGAACTGACTGCTGCAGTAAATGTTATCTTAGAAAAGACATGTGACGGAAATCCTTACAATCAGTCTTCTGAAGTTAGGATAATTAGAAGTCTGATACTGTCCACTTAAGAAGAACGTAGTATGAGCTTCTGTGTTGGCATTTTTGAGTGTCAATAAACAGTAATCGAAACCTGAAAATACCAAGGAATGTATAGTACATTGTGGAACAGACATATTTACTAATGAGCTAGTTTCCTGCTTTGGATTAAACAAAATCTCCTACTCAGAAACTGTTAAGAATAATAATCTAAGCCATAGATAACCTCCTAAGCATACATTTTGTTAACCTTTGCAATTTAGTCTTCCTCTGCCTCCTCATTCTGTCTTTCAACTTCTTTAGACATTTCTTAGTTCTGGATTTCAATAGAGCATGCCTTGGGATAGACTTATGTCTTATTAGGATATGTTGTAGTCCAAGATGCATGAAATTTTTATGAATTTTAGGTTTCTAAGGTTCTTAAACACTTTGGTATATTTAGCCCAAGTCTCTGAAGCAAAAACTGACTGATTTCTGCATTCCACCAGTGTGATGAACACCTATTCCTGTCTGGAGCCTCTTAACTTAACAAATAATAATTCAAGGCCACTGCTGGCCTTTTCCAATTACCGCACTAAACCAGATAGTTCAAGTAAAAGAGCGAGCTAATTGATACTCTTTGAACCAGAGCTTATGATCTGTTTTGCAATATCTAGTGGTTTTAGAAGGCTTAAAAGCAATGTAGTTGTGTTTGGATGTAAGCAAAATTTAAAAAGCCTATACGAGGGCTTAGGGTATTCTGATATTTAAACTTTCAGTGACCTCTCAGCAGCATAAAAATAGTCCTTTAGGAAACATATTCATGTCAGCCACTGCTAAATCTGAACAAAAGGTAAATTCCTTTTAAGCCTCTAGAACTATATATCCTCAGTACTGGCCAGCTTTAACAACATGTCCAGGAAATTAAAGTTGATCCCTGTCTTATCAACGGGGCACAAGAAAGGTTGGAAGTCAAGAGGTTTTAGAGAGGTGAGCTAATTCTGCAGTTAGAAGGACAGAGCAGTCTGCAGCAGTGGCAGCATAAAAGGAAGAGAGTATGGCTCTTGGATAAACTACTGCCAAGCCAGTTAGTTAGGTGGCTGAAGAGCCCAGTGCCCTACACTCCATCTAAAATGTGCTAGATCCCAATGCAAAGCCTTCACTGTTGTATAGATCTAATGAGGGAACTGCTGAATTCACACCATCGCAAAATATGGAATGCATTGATAGTGCCTTCTTTATCTTGATGACGGCACAGAGAGTGCTGGAGAATGGAAGAGTCTAGAGTCTAGGTTGCTGCAGGGACCTACTTCAGGGCAGGGAAGACTGCACTGGAGAAGGGATGTGCAGCAAGAAGTGCCAAGAAAAAGCTCTTTTGGGGGGCTTTTTGAAGCTAGAAAAAAGCCTTTGCCTGACCTTGGGGGGGTCACCTTTTGGGCGCGTTGCAGAGAGGGCCTGGGCGGAGCCAGCACCACCCACCTTTAATCAGGCCACCAGGCTATAAGAAGCCTCAATGACTGGTCGCTGCCCACTGAGCACAAGGGGAGCAAACAGTGCTTGTGTGTCTCCTGGGAATTGCCGCCATAGCTGGCTACAGCTCCTAGGACAGCGAGCAAGGGGGAGGGTGAGGGGCAGAACAGTGGTACCATCTCATTGCAGAGGATCAGGTAAGGTCTCAACTCAGCTATGATTTCAACTAAGCAGAAGGTTGTGGTCTGGAAACTGACCAAAATGGATGTGGGAACCCAGACAGAGCTCCCACAGAGACATGCAACTGTGCAGGTCACAGGCTGCTGGGAGTGACAGGGCCTGCGGCTGGCAGCAAAGAGCAGGATCAGCTGGGTGCGGTGCAAACAGGTAGACGACCTGCTCAGCATGGTGGCACAGCTAAGAGAAGATGTTGAGCTGCTAAGGAGCATCAGAGAAGCAGAGAGAGAGACTGGTGGAGCCAGGCTCCGCCTTCTCTGAAACGGGAAGGGGAGCACCCACTGGAAAGAACCCAGGATCAAGGGACCCTAGTATCCTTCTACTGTCAGGCTGAAGGCATAACTCTAAATACTAAAAATGAAAACAATGAATGGAGGCAAGTTCATGCTTGGGGCAGCAGGCAAATTCCCTCCTTGCCTGCCCAGGTGCCGCTGTGCATCAGATACGAGACTCTGGCTCTGGCTGAGGAACCCAGCCAAATGAGGATGTGGATGATGGGCAGTCTGTGCCAGAGATGTCTCACCAATCAGTTAAGTCCACAACCTGAATCACAACCACATCCATAAGGAAAAACAGAAGGGTTATAGCAGTAGGTGACTCCCTTCTGAAAGGAACTGAAGGTCCGATATGCTGGGCAGAACCTCAGCGTAAGGAAGTATGCTGTCTCACTGGAGCACGAATTAGGGACATTACTAGGAAACTTCCTAGTTTAGTAAGGTCATCAGATTATTACCCATTAGTGGTCTTTCATATAGGTGGAGATGAAACTGCAAATTGTAGTCTAAAAGGGACTTCAGGGCCCTGGGATGGTCGGTGAGGGAATCTGGGGTTCAGGTTATATTTTCATCCCTTCTCCCGGTTGTGGGTGATGATATTGGGAGAATCAAGCAAATACAATATATTAATACGTGGCTCCGTGACTGGTGTCACTGCCAAAACTTTGAGTTCTTTGACAATGGGATGGTCTACACAGCACCAGGCTTGCTAGTCTCTAATGGGAGTCATCTTTCCCAGAGAGGAAAGAGGGTCTTTGCCCAAGAGATTTTGGGGCTGATCGATAGGACTTTAAACTAGTTGCGAAGGGGGAGGGGCATAACAATTTCAGGCTTGTCAGTGACAAGCTTTGGGATGACAAACCAGAGTTAGAGGGACAGGGTGCTACTAAAGGCCTTCAACTGGCTACTCTGTGGCACGCTGGGGGAGCGGCAGCACAGCTAAGCTCTTACAGAGATGAACCAGGGGCTCATGAAGTAGTAGGAGACTACAGGGAAACATTCACGGAACACCTCAAGAGATTTAAGGGGTCTTCCACTAATAAGGTGATGTGGCCGACAGCCCTGCTGAAGTGCCTCCACACAAACGCAGGTAGCATGGGCAGTAAACAGGAGGAGTTAGAAATCTGCGTGCAGTCAAGGGGTTAAGACCTGGCAGCAATTACAGAGACCTGGTGGGACAACTCACATGACTGGAATGTGGGCCTTGATGGCTCTGTCCTTTTTAGGAAAGACAAGCCAACAAGACGAGGTGGTGGAGGTGCTCTATACATGAGAGAGCAACCGGAATGTATCAAGATCTGTCCAGGGGTGGATGAGGAGCAAATCAAGAGTTTGTGGGTAAGCATTAAGGGGCAGGTTAGCATGAGTGATACTGTGGTGGGTGCTTATTACAGACCACCTGATCAAGGTGAGAAAGTTGATGAGGCCTTTTACAGGCAGCTGTCAGTAGCCTCTCAATCACAGGCCCTGGTTCTCATGGAGGATTTCAACTACCCAGATATTTGCTGGAAGGCCTACACAGGCAGCAATCCACAGTCCAGGAGGTTCCTCCAGTGCATCGATGATAGTTTCTTGATGCAAATGGTGGATGAGCCAACCAGGAGGGGAGCACTGCTGGACCTTGAGCTCACCAACAAGGAAGGTCTGGTTGAAGCAGTGAAGGTTGAGGGCAATCTGGGCCGCAGCGACCATGAGGTGGTGGAGTTCAGGATCTTGTGTGGTAGGAGCACAATACCAAGCAGGATCACAACTCTGGACTTCAGCAGGGCCAACTTTGGCCTTTTCAAGCAATTGCTAGGAGTAAGCCCATGCAACAGGGTACTAGAAGGCAAAGGGGCCCAAGATAGTTGGTCAGTATTCAAAGACCACTTCTTCCATGCTCAAGATCAGAGGATCCCAATGGGTAGGAAATCAAGAGAGCCATGAGACCCTCGTGGTTAATGAGGGAACTACTGCGCAAACTCAAGTGGAAGAAGCGAGTATATAAATCATGGAAGGAGGGGCTGGCCACTTGGGGGGAGTATAGGACTGCTGTCAGAGGGGGGAGGGAGGGCACTAGGAAAGCTAAGGCCTCCTTGGAATTAAACCTTGTGAGGGAGGTCAAGGACAACAGTAAAGACTTCTTCAAATACATTGGCAACAAAACTAACACCAGAGTCAATGTAGGCCCACTGCTGAATGAGGTAGGTGCCCTGGAAACAGAGGATACAAAGAAGGCAGAGTTGCTGAATGCCTTCTTTGCCTCTGTCTACACTGTTGGAGACTGTCCTCAGGAGGCCCAGACCCCTGAGGCCCCAGAAGAAGTCAGGATAAATGAAGAATTTGCCCAGGTTGAGGAGGACTGGGTTAGGGATCAGTTAGGACACCTGAACATCCGTAAATCCATGGGCTGTGATGGGATGCACCCACAGGTGCTGAGGGAGCTGGTGGGAGTCATTGCTAGGCCACTCTCCATCAACTTTGGTAAGTCGTGGGGAACAGGTGAGGTGCCTGAGGACTGGAGGAAGGCGAATGTCACTCCAGTCTTTAAAAAAGGCAGGAAGGAGGACCTGGGTAAGTACAGACCGGTCAGCCTCACCTCCATCCCTGGAAAGGTGATGGAACAACTTATCCTTGGTGCTGTCTCTAGACATATCAAGGATAAGAAGGTCATTAACAACAGTTAGCATGGCTTTGCCAAGGGGAAGTCATATTTGACCAACCTGATAGCCTTTTATCAGGACATAACCAGGTGGATGGATAGTGCCTGTGCAGTGGCTGTGATTTATCTGGATTTCAGTAAAGCATTTGACACAATCTCCCACAGCATCCTCATAGCTAAAAATGGCTACAAAAACTATTACACTATGATATGATAGATATTATTGTGACCACTTTGGACAAATATAACAGGAAAACTAGCTGTTATCTAAATGAACTTGCATTTTAAAATACAGTTCACTTGATACATAGCGAGATGATATACTCCCTGTAAATTACATTACAGAATTGATGACACAAAACTGGGAGGAGTGGCTGACACACCAGAAGGCTATACTGCCATTCAGAGAGACCTAGACAAGCTAGAGGGCTGGGCAGGGAGAAATCTTATGAAGTTCAACAAGGGCAAGTGCAAAGTCTTGCATCTGGGAAAAAACAACCCCATGTACCAGTACAGGTTGAGGACTGACCTGCTGGAGAGCAGCACAGGGGAAAGGGACCTGGGGGTTCTGGTGGACAGCAGGATGACCATGAGCCAGCAATGTGCCCTCATGGCCAAGAAGGCCAATGACATCTTGGGGTGTGTTAAAAGGGGGATTTCTAGTAGGTCGAAAGAGGTTCTCCTCGCCCTCTGCTCTGCCCTGGTGAGGCCACATCTGGAACATTGTGTCCAGTTCTGGGCCCCTCAGCTCAAGAAGGACAGGGAACTGCTTGAGAGAGTCCAGCACAGAGCCAAAAAGATGGTGAAGGGAGTGGAACATCTCCCTTATGAGGAAAGGCTGAAGGAGCTGGGTCTCTTTAGCTTGCAGGAGAATGAGGGGTGATCTCAATAATGTTAATAAATGTGTCAAGGGTGAGTGTCAGAAGGACAGTGCCATGCTCTTTTCAGTGATGTCCAATGGACATCACTGACATGGGGCAACAGATACAAGCTGGAACATAGGAGGTTCTACAAAAATATTAGAAGAAACTTTTTCCCTGTGAGGGTGACAGAGCACTGGCGCAGGCTGCCCAGGGAGGTTGTGGAGTCTCCTTCTCTGGAGACATTCAAAACCCGCCTGGACGCGTTCCTGTGTGACCTACTGTAGGTGACCCTGCTCTGGCAGGGGGCTGGGCTAGATGATCTTTTGAGGTCTCTTCCAACTCCTAACATTCTGTGGTTCTGTGAATCTGTGGAACAGGTCATCCAGCTAACAAAGTTCACACGATAAAAGATCAGCTCAGTTACTTGCTGAACATGGCACTAAACTTTTTAAAAGACACAGTTCTCAAGAAGCGAAATGCTTTCATTAGAACAAATTTATCTGTCAGGCTCTCAAGTGTCAGGATTTTTCCAACACGCTTGCATCTTGTACATGCAGCCAGACTGCCACTCAGGCATTTAAATGAAAGGATTATATTTTCATGTGACCATCACCCATCAGAATTATGTTTCTCCCAGTGAGTTGCTGTCCACTGATCTATTTTGAAAATTTGCATCCTCATTTCATTTTATGTGCCTGGTTGGAAGATTTTATGTGCTGAGCATTTTTGCCAACTCTGGGATCTTGTAACAGTAGTCAGCATGCAGTTGAGAGGAAATATTTGCATCTCATAACGGAGAAAATGTGCAGTGAGATTCCTTCATGTGTTGAAATGTAATAAAGTTATTAAGTTAACCCTTTTTTTGTTTTGTTTATTATCTTCTGGAGTCAATTATTACAGCAAAAATTTTAATAACTTGGGAAGTGATGTCCTGCTTCCTGTATCAGTTTGGCTTACCTCAGTCCTTAGACGATGAAGGTGGCTGGAGATCTGAAAGATCATTGAGACCTTTGACATTCATGCAAAGTATTACTTCAGAACATTTGGAGACTGAGTGATCACTATTAATGAGCCTTATGTTATTGCTACAGGTGGCTGTGAAAAAGGTATAGACTCAGCATTGGTACTAGAGCTTAGGAGGCAGCTTATTATGTGATAAAAGCTCATGCTAAAGCCTAACACAGTTGTAGTATTTGGAGAAAACCATGTGGACTTGTCTCTATAGCTCTGAACTCTCCGATTGGTAGAATCTCTCTGAGTTCTGTAGCAGATCAAAATGCGACTAAAGGGTACCTGTCCCTTACCTTAGACGGGTTCGTCAGGACAATATTTACTGATGGTGAATATCCAGCCGTGATGAAATCCTGAGTTTCTGCAATGCATTCAGAGCAGGGTTGCTTATCATCAAGGCTTCTGGAATTCACTAAAAGGGAAAAAAATACAATCTCGGGTACTGCTGACTTTGAACTGTTAAGATGAAGAAAGTGCAGATAAGAAGCTACATGTTTCAATGGACTGTGAAGCTGAGCAAGAAATGGATCCTGCTTGGCCTATTGCAGCTGGGAATTTATGGCTCTCTGTTGTACCATGGAGTTTACACTGACTTCTGTGTTATATCAGGCAATGACCTAAGGCTCACAGGACCATTTTACCGCTATTAGCTGGCCAATGAGAGGATCTGAGAATCCAATGAGTAATACTGATGATGTGGAGTTTTTTGAGGGGCCCATCTGGATGCATAAGACATTGTACAAGATATAAATAAACAAGTCACCTTGGGATTCTTAATTTAATTTTTGCATGATAGCTATAAAGGGTAGAAGCCTTAGTGTCTTCCTAGTGCCTGTGTACTTGATAGCTATTCTGCAGTTTGAAATGACACACCAGTGTTATATCGTCTTTTGAACTCCAGAAATGATCTTTCTGATGCCAGCAGCAAGGCTTTCCTGGCATGCATCTGCTCCTGGCAATGGGATGTGTGGTGACTGCCAGTACCAAGGGGTTAAGGACCAGTGGCAATAAGCAGATGCTAATGCAGGAAAGATATTTTAGTCTTCTCATTAAAATAAGTCGTTTCACTGTCTTCATGGCTATTTGCACAGTTTTGCTTTTCCATTGTTAGTTATAAAAGGTCAGCTCACGGAAAATTAAGTTAATAGGGTCAGTGCAATTTGATGAAAACTAGTTTTAGTTTGTAGCATAGAAAAGATAGAGGGTAATGCATCTGATTTTATGGGCTTTCTTACATCTGTTCTGAATGAAACTTCTGCTCTCTTGTTCTAGATACATATAATAACCCTATAATTTACATCACTGAGAATGGGTTTTCCCAAAGTGACCCTGCTCTACTTGATGACAGTCAACGATGGGAGTATTTCAGGCTGATTTTACAGAAAATACTAAAAGGTACCATTTAAAATGATGAAAGATCAGTCATGAAAGCTTAATATAATTTAACTTTGTGCTTATTTGAATTCAGCAACGACCAATGATTCTTGAAGCTAAAACTCATGTAAATCAGAGTAAAGTGAATAGAAGAAAAATGTTTAGCTGAAAGGAAAGCAAGCAGTTTTAAACCTGTCTCCTATCTTGGGGTGCAAATGGATGAAAAAGTGCTCCATAAATTATTACAAAACTTGATTTTGTAGGTCTGTAGTTCTTTGCTGAGCAAAGAAACCATATTGATCTTCAAAAGTGCTTGCTGTTCATACTTCTCATTCTGAAGGATGTAAAGTTGAGTACACCTGAAAACCTGACTGTTGCATCTCATAATACCCTTACAGAATACAACCTTCCATATGCAATGAGATCCATGTAATAATTCATTCCTGTAGAGGACCCTTGTTACAGCTCAGCTTCTGCTTTTATGTCAGGATGACCTGAGTGGCAGTCTGGCTGCATGGAAAAGACGAAAGCATGTTGGAAAAATCCTGGCACTTGAGAGCCTGACAGGTAAATTTGTTCTAATGAAAGCATTTCACTTCTTGAGAACTGTGTCTTTTAAAAAGTAATCAGTGCAGTCTTACACAGGTTTGCGCAGTGCAGTTTGACACTAAGTTGTATTGATATTTATTGTTTTATCCAGTAAATATCATGGTGGAACACTGGTTGAAGCAGATCCCTGTATGCAAATATAATATAAATACTAAATCCATCAGCTGTAAGGCACTCTATTAAAAAATGCCAGTAACACTATCTCCTTGAAACTTCTCTCCTGCTACTCTGAGTAAACAAGTTGTTAGGGCCACTTCTTGTGTACTGACCCACAAATGAGCAAGCCATTTCAAGTTTGCAGCTCAGATACCCTGCAAAGCAGGATGCTTGAAGTGTTCACTTTATTCAATGCTTAAATGCTTAAATGCTTAACCATTTATTAAGTGCTGTGTGAAGCAGAACAGTTTAATTGCTCTGCATACAGAGTCTACTCTACAATAATTCCTTGTCTTTTGAACTAACTTTTGAAATTATTAGTACAGGCTCATTCCTGCAGTGAGCTCTGGGTCATGACAGGGGCCTGTGTGGATTCTGCTGTGGGATTTAGGCATGCCTGCTTATTTGCTTGTCTAACCAAGAAAAAAATATGCTTGACTACAAAAGAGAGTATATCTACAACCTATTACTGCATTTGTTAATAGAAATATTTTAATAGGTTGTAATTGGACTGCTAGTATCCTTATTTTATCTTTTCTAATTAAAAACCTTCCTAGCTTTCAGAATACATGTTTACACTAATTATATTAATTTTGTCAGTCCAATTTTTCATAATAACAGGGAGCTTCCCTTTTCAAAACCTTGTGTTTTAGAAAGAGCTATGCTCTATTTAGGTAGCAAGAATGCTGGTATCCAAAATCCCTCCAAATTTTTACTATCATCAGGACTAGTTAACTTAAAAGATTTTGGAGCGCAGAATTAGTGCTGAGCTGGTACAGCAACTGTCATCCCTTAAGACTGTGATCAAGCAGTATGGATAAGTAATAAACCCACTGTATGTTACTCCTATGCTTTGTTTTTAGAAAAAGAGTTTGATGCTGTCAGAGAAAATTAAGTTTTTTATTTTGGGGGCAATATAAGTTAATAAGACCAGAAAGAGCAATGTAAATATGAACTAGGAAATAGAGAGTGAACAGCATGCAGCTACCATAAATATATCACATTATAGTTATTATAGATGGAAAATAGTTTTTAAATGGATACAACTGCTGCCATGTTGCTTCTGCACTATATGAATAGATAAAAGCACCAATATTTTAATAAATGTGGATATACATATTTAGCATATCTACAGAGCCATAAGCGTGCATGGTGCTTTACAGATAAATGAAAATTATGTCTTTTTACCCCAAGGAACTGAAAATCTAATTTAGGTACAATGCATGAAGAGATGATGAACAGAAATCTGGATGAGAGGTAGAAAGAAAACATGGATCAGAGTAGTGAAATGCCTTTTACTGCAGTTGCTCTTCCTTAATTTTATGTAATGTATGTTAAGGCTGACATCTAGACCAAGGATCAAGGCTGCCAATAAAAAGGTAATTGAAACTACTTAGTTTTGAGAAGTGGAACCTTCTAAAAGAGATAATGGAATTTCATAAAGTCTGTGGAGGAAAGCAGTGTCAATAGTGGGTAAACTATTGCCAGAGGAAGCTGATGGAGAAGTTGTTCCATAATCTGGCTGGTAGGAGATTATTAATAATGCTGATGGCGAGGAAATAATGAATTAAATGAATTTTAGGTTTGCAGTGGGCGAAGAAATGGTCACTGGAAAGACAGTTGAAGTTAGTAGGAATAGAAAATAAAGAATTTGAGCATGATATAATGTAATATGGGCAGCGGCAAATAAGAGGGACATCACCAGGAATAAATGTGATCACACAGGACTAGATTTGGGAATAAATAGAAAACATATGAACATTTAATTTAGAGTCAGCTAGAAGGTCAACAGTAGAAAATGCAGGGTAAATAGAGGAAATTATTGCGAGGATATAGGACTGGGTAAAGCTTAAGATTCACATGGTGTTAATTTTCTCCTTAAATATGCTTGAATGAAGCAGAAGGGAAAATGAGACAGAGAATGCTGACTGCAATGGGAAGTGCAGAGCAGAACGAAAACTGAAAGTAAGCAAGGTGGTGCAGTTAAGAGGATTTTAAAAACTGCACCTTAAGTTAAATGCAGTCCCTTCTGGACAGCTTTTTTTTGTTCTTTTTTCCCTCAGACTTCTAAGAGTTCTTATAAAATCTTTTATGTATTATCGTCACTGTACACTTTGACCTTGCTCTCATGAACTAACCATTTAGTCTGTGTTGTAGATACGTTCAAGCTTGTTTTTGCTGCATTCCTATGCACATAAACCAGTGAGGTTATAATGCAATACTGTAGTCCATGAGAATATGATTTATTGTTAAATTAAATATGGATGTCATAATGTGAGCCCCTCGGGTCAACTATAAGCTTGAATGTTATTGAAAGAACTGCAGCAGCAGCTCTGTTTCTTCACTGCTGCTGACAGAAATGCCTCTACAAATAGAATACAACAATGCAGACATATTAAGGAGTCTCTGAGATGTGCTGTCCCTGGCATAACATTGCCATGTGACATTTTCAAGAACTATAAATACATTGACTGCATTATAGAGTAAAAATTAAGAAGCTTTGCAGTAGTCACTGCACAAGCATTAAAATCAAGCTGAATTTGTTGTGAATACTATGAGGGATTCAAGTATTTTCTTAAAAAACAACCTATGCAAACAGAAAAAGAAACCAACAAACCCCTGGAATCATGAAGGTATAGCTAGCATAGAGCAATGTCTTTATCAGGTTTTTAACATAGTTATTAAAGGTTCAGGATACGTGACTGTACTTCCATAAAGTTCCAGTTAAATGCAAGTTTTATAACCACATTATGACGAGAACAGCCACACATAATTTCTTAGGAAAGGTGATTGAGAACACCTCTAGACAATAGAAATGACCACTTTGTAGCAGTATTTTCTCGTTACTGAAAGTTTATACCTCTTTTTTCACATTAATCCTTTAATTTAAATGTTTAATCTGCACTTTTTTTTCCCCTCCAACTTTTAATCAGCAGTTTTCCAATGCAAAATTATGAATTTTTTTTTCTCCAAAATGCTTTGTATTCAAAAGTATCTTCAGTGAAGATAACAAAACACAGTTGTGTGCCCGTATTAGGAGAATTTCTACTGGAAGCAGGGTAACAGGAGACTTGTCACTACACCAACAGAAGAGGATCATTGTTCTGAAACAAAGATGTGTCCGTGGCTTTCTTGCTTGGCAGTGTTTTGATTTTGATCGAAAGGATTAGATTAAAAGCAAGATTATGCAATAGTTGCTAGGTGTCTCTGAGCTGATCAGATGGTCCCTGGGGAAAGGAATGCAGAAGACGTGGGAGCTTTGAATGCAGGGTTAGGAAGAGCACGGCTAGACTGAGTGGTGCAGCAGTTGATTTGAGTTGTTGAGAACCTGGATGTAGCCAGTATTTCACATCCTCACTCAGTACCTGGAAAGTGCTTTGATTCAAAAGTAACTGGACCTCAGCCCCCCGTGAACTGTTAGTTTTCAAAAGTGTTGGGATTCTGTGGCACAAGAATAGTTCCTCCTCTGTAGAAGAGACATGTTGGGAGCTTTTGTGACAACGATTTACCTCAGAGAGCATAACTTAGGCACTGTGGATGTTGTACTGCTGCCAGATAGCTTGTGATTAAGCTCCTCCTAGAACCCCCTTTTGGTTATTACCTTTGTTACAGACAGAGAATTTGCTTTGCCTAAAGGTCGTACTGCATTACTGAAACAGAATTCACGAGTCTTCAGCTTTGCTGCTGGTTGCCTCAGTTGTACAGGCAGAGATTTGGGATCTCAACAACTAACCAGTCTCTAATCTCCAAATGATCTATGTGGCCAGAAAGTCAGAGGCAACTATTATTCACCTGCACATTGGAGATTTCCCTTAGGAAATGATTAATACATATACAGCATAATCCCCACATCAGAAGTAGCTACTATAGTTTTTTTGATTCTGCTTTTTTATTGTATAAGATGAAAGATAATGGCAACTGCATTGAAAAAAAATCCTCACAAATAAAAAGGAAGAATTTTGGCCTTCATGATGAATAAACAGACTTTTATGAAAATTGTGAGCTTAAATTCATCAGATGTAGATTGCAGACAACATTGTTGGGTTTGATATCAGTACTAAGCCACATGCTCTGTTTCAAGTTACCTTTCAGGAGAAAATATGATGAATCTACAGAGACACATCATAAAAATACTGTGCTAGTGTGGTGTCTTTGACACAGTTTTTAGTTTAAGGCCCCCTTTTTCAAGATAGTTCTATTTTAAATAGCTCAGGCACATTATATGCATTCTAAATGCCTTTCCTAGGATTATATAC